AATTCCGACAGTGGTAATTTTGCAAGTTATATAACCCATGGTTTTAGCCGCACCCATCGAAAAGAAGCAATTTGAGGTTAATAAAGCATGGTTACTCTCCTCAGGTGAAAAACGTTGGCAGCAAGAGCAGTTACAATACAAGAACGTGGCACGGGCATGTAAACACTTGAGACAATGCCTGTGTAGTGAGATAGAATTGGTCACTATGTAGCATAGCGCTGGCTGCTGGCAGGGAATGGGATCTGCAGAGTGAAGCAGCCCTGATTGACAGCAGGCCACGCGACAGACCCGAGAGGGATCTAGGGCAATGGTGATAGAGGGGGCACGTGAGGTAAGCTCAGGAACCCACTAGTAGGTTCCAGAAGGGGGGCGTGGCCGAGGTGGAGCGAGGCCACGCCTACAGGATAAAAGGGGACCCGGGGCGGGGGATCGGGGCCGTCGTTTGGAGTGGGATCCCCTCGTTGTCGTTGCTGTCGCCTTCGCCACTGTCGTACCTTCATCGCTGTCATCGTCGCTGTCGTCGCCCACTTGATAGTTGCGCTGCTAGCAGTAGTTGGCTGTCTTAGTTCAGTGCCGTCAATGTTAGATGGCTAGCCTTGTGTTGTAGGCTAGCAACCAGTATAGAGTTGTGTTTGAGCGAGAGACAGAGCGTTGTGTAACAGCAGAGAGTGTGTAACAGTTTGCTCGGTGTTTAATTAAAGAATTGCCTCCAAGAAGCTACGTCTCCAAGTCAGTCACTACAAATGCATCAAAGCCAAAAAGCAAGTAAAAGGCTTGTACAACATTTTATATGGTGAGGACATAGACTGGGATGAGGCAGAAGGCTTCAATCTTATGCTTTTGAGTTTAAATCCGAGGCAGGGTTGGCTCAGCTCCCTCTGGTGTTGTAAAATGAGGAAAAGTTTGTGTGAAATCAACAAACTGTTTGTACCTGCTACTCGAATGTTGAATTTACAACACTAGATTATTACTTCAAATGTAGATTAACATTGCCCAATGTCTGTAATCATGGACAAACTGGTTCTTTTGGTCAACAATGTCATGGTAGGTTAGCAACAATAAAAAAAAATGTCACATTTGACCAATTTTGGGGAATAAGCATGTCTCGTACGTACTGCAGTTTAAGCAATAACAGACAGTATTCTAACTGTTCATGGGACAGCACATACTTATTTTGGTTGTTATGAACCAGTGGGGGAAATTCCACATTCCTATAATGAAAACTGGCCTTTCCATATAATAACCTCCTGAATTTCCTACCATGTGGAACAGCCTCACCAGGCACTGCTTATTTATTCAACATTGGAGGAAGCACAATGATGGGCTGAGTAGACCCGACTGAGATTTGAACTGACACTCACAATCAGGAGAACCACCCGACTCCACCAATGAGCTATATCCTGGCCACTCTTCCATCCTCTAGTGTGCACAGTTCGGTTTAATTATTGTATTTAAGAGTCCAGATTACCATCGCACATCTATACACTTTATTATTTTCCAAAGTATTTATATTCATGGCTTACATTAGTGTTTGTCTCCTCACTGTGTTTTTTTTGCCAAATTGTTTTTTTCCAGCCGCTGATGTCCTGGTTGACTTTAACAAATGTACAATAATAAGGGAACTTTGTGCATATTATCAGTATATAATTTTCCATGAGCAATGTCATTGAGAAATGAATGTCACGTGTGTGTGTGTTTGAGTGGTAAACAACATTACATAACACTTGTGCCAGCTTGAAACTGGCAGAGGTTGGACTGCCCATAGGTTAATTTATTCTGAGCTCATACAGCATGGATTATGGATGAATTGTGTGATTAGCACAACATTTAAGTTGCTACCCATGTACAATACGAGGGGCATATGAAATCTGCACCTGGCTTGTGTATCCTCTAGGCCGACTAAGCCTATAGGTGCAGTGGTGGGCAACCTACGGCCCACAGGCCGCATGCGGCCAATCGAGCCCCTCGTGGTGGTCTGGTCTGAGCGTGTCTCGGGTGATACGTGGGGTCATGATTCTCGTGCACAAGCAGTGTTAAGGTTGCGGCCCACTGAGGCGAAGGAGAGCCACTCGTGTGGCCCACTAACTAGTCGAGGTTGCCCATCACTGCTATAGCGAGCAGCTGTGCTATGTATTGACATTTTGGGAGCTAATAAATGCCACATACGGTACTGACCACACCACTCTCATATGTGCTGTGTTGACATTAACAGCTTCTCGCGAACAGTACTTATGCCAACAGCCTGGTGTGCACGCACCAATCTCTGAATCCTGTTTGTCATATATATTTCATGATTCTATTATGTAAACTACTCCATTCTCATTACGCATTCATTTGAAATGATCAACTTTGCAAATGAGTTATATACGTTTAAAAAAATAAAAGTTGCTCCACAATGTTGGAGGTGGCAACCACAATAATGTTTCGACCACAATATAACTAAACAATATTGATGCAATCAAGTAAACATACGTGCATCTCAAGTCATTTTTTGCATATGTCAATATTAGGATGTGCCCTTGTCGGCGTGAGTTTGTGTAAGCAAGACAAACACCCGCACAGTCATGTTCCCATTGGCAGCGTGCTTAGGTCACATGCAGTGTCTGTATCGGCTGGCACGTCTCTATTAATATATCTTGTGAGGCCAGAGCACCAGTGTTTGGAGTTTGTTTTTTGTCGTGTAACTCTTAAGTGCGAAAAATCTGCGGGTTATTGGAATCCATTCTGCATTACATTGAAAAAAGTCACAGATAACAACGGATAATTGGAATAGGGCCGTGGTTTAATTGCATTCTTTGCGGACATTGCAGCTCCCGCGGATTATATAATTAATTATGGGAGTCACGCATGATAGATGAACGTTCTTCCATAATGCACGACTGTATTGTAATTGCTAATTATTAAGCAAGTGGATTGGGCAGGATGAGTACTACTTCCTGTATATATTTGTAGCAGAATGTGTAATTCCCCATTCTGAGTACATACTCGAATTACCCCAAACTGTGTTTCCAAGTGTTTAGACAACTCGAGTTTCCTGCCAGTTTGTGCACGAGTTCCAAATTCTGGCCAGGCGATTTTCATTGCCAGGCTGGCCTGAAATCTACATCAGAAATACGGAGGAGCGGAAAACTTACATATTTCTAGGAAAGATCTGCTCAACTCAAGCGAAAACCCGAGTAAACTCGGAAAATCATGGAAACTCGAGTTGCGGGACAAATCGGGCCAACTTTAGTGCAATCGAGTCGACTCAACTTGACTATGAAAGCAAGGCCTAATTGGGACAATGTCCTGCACATATGTGGCATACAATTCTACAGCGCTACGTATCAAACGCATGAGTTTTAAGTGGGACTCTGATATGTATGATGCGCTACTCATATGGTCAACAACCGACCAAATGTAGGTTTCATCTTCTTGGTTCTTTCCGTAAAGTCACGTAGAACGGGGGAAAAAAAAAAGCATTATTTTATTATTTTTATTATTATTATTTTATTTCCATTCTACGTGACTTTACCGAAAAAAACCAAAAAGATGAATCCCTGCAGTCACGAAAGCTTTAAATCGAAAATCAAATGTAGGTTGTTAGCGCCCCCATCTGCGCTGCGACTGGGCCACAACGCAACTAAAATTGTGTAACGTCCACAAATGCAGTGGCGATGCTGTGGCAGGGCTTGATGGGGCGCACGTACCCCAAACGAATAGCAAATGATCCTCATGTCGGTACCCCGGGGTACTAAATAATACAACACGGGCCGAGGCAATTAAATATTTTATTTGTGGGACACTATTTTTTTTTCCAGGGGTGTTACTTCACTCGGCGATTGGGGTAAACCAATCAATCCGAAATCGGTGTCACACTCCGCGATGTCGAAACGCAGCGAGGGCGATTAGCGCTGAAACCCCGAACGCTCTGGGTACGCACCACAGTGGTGGTGGTGCATCGTGAGTACAGCTCGTCGAGATGAGTCGATTGCCGCATCGCCGACCATCGACAGACTAAGAATGACTACATTACGGACATTATGCGAGAGCCCGGGGTAGCTATGATACCCTATGATACCCCGGCTCTCGCCATGAGGTTCAAATGTTCCTTGCAAATGCCTCTTCAGAGGCAGCTTTTGATGGTGACCTGGGGAAGTTCACATTACGGTAATTAACCTCACTACGACGAATGTGAACGAACTCCATGTGCCTTACGTAAACAGCTCGGATAATTCGCCTGTGTTAGGTCCTCGACGTGCATCTTTGCACACCTGTATTCTTGCCGGGAAGATTAAAGCCTAGTCTTTTTTTAAATTTCAAATATTTTTTTGTCGGTGGACTGTATTCATGTATTTCTTTTTAACGTTTGCTCTGTGAACTCTCTCCTGTGTTGAGCTTACAATCACATGACTCACAGCCAACTACTCCACACTAGGGCTGAACGATTTGGGCAAAATATCTAATTGCGATAAAATAAAAATTAAGTCAAGCTTCAGGTCAATATTCACTGTGTAATAGATTTAAAACATGTGATGGAGCATTACCACATTATACCATCAAAATATGAACTGCTCTATATATTATAATGCAAGGATGAGAACTTAAAAGATATTAATTGCTTCCAAGATGTATTTAATTTTTTTTTAAATGAAATAGAACAATCAAACATAGAACAATTGTTAAGCTAAATAAATGACGTTATAATAATAAATAAAACAATTCAAACTAGAAAATAATAGGACTTTTCAAATCGCCCAAAGAAAAATTGTTAATGGCATTGTTCAAAATAGCGATTTCAATTTGAAATCGATTAATCGTTCAGCCCTACTCCACGCCCCCGATGCCAGAGTGTCCCTCCCCATCCCCCCCCCGTGTGCTCTTCGTTCAATTTTAGAAGATATCTCTTCACTCATTTGCAGAGGGGATGGGGGGAGGGCACTTTCGCCGATAAGACATCGTCAGTGTGGGAGGCCGCCACACATGTTAAACCATTGGGGGGGGGGGTTGACGGCAGCACGACGTTGATGATGATGATTATGGGGTTTTTGTCTTTTCACATTTGTGTGTGTGTATTGTTGCACTAAAGGCCACCGCCAGAGGCCGCTAAGTGACCCGCTGGCCCTGAAATGAAGAACACCGCCCGATGCTGCTGCCACTGATGCCACTGCTGCCACTGCCACTGCTGCGCTTCCCCCTGGCGGTGACGCCTCTTCTGATGTCCCCCGGGCCCTGCTCCCCCAAGCGACTCCGCACTATGGCCACGATCGGCACGCACGACGGCACCTTCCACTGCGACGAGGTGCTCGCCTGCTTCTTGCTGCGACAGCTACCGCGCTACAAGGTGCGTTGAGTTGAGTGAGAGCGAAAGAGAGGGAGGGAGGCCGGCCGGGCCCCGACCGTGCACGCGTGGGCCGCTCCTGCCGGCGGAGAGGCGAGGTGGGCGGCAGCGGCGGCGGTCGAGCGAGGCCCCGGCTCCTCGAGGCCCCCCGGCCTCGTTCCGGGGAGTGGGGGAAAGAGTTCCCGCAGTTGAATTCGGCGATGTCGTGTCGGCTCCCAAGCGGGCAAGTGAGGTGTTTGTGGCGATAGTACTGTGTTGTTGTTTGTGTTGTTGTTTGTGTGTCTGCGATGTTGGTTTGACAGACGGAACACGTGCGTCCATTGGCATGGAGCACTGTACGGCGCACGTGTGTATACAGTGTAGTCACCAACGCGGCCGGTACAGTTCACGCGAGCACGCGATATGTTTATAGTTACTTTGAAGGTGACTTGTGCAAATAATCCATAAACTAGATTCGAGGCTTTCGTGACTGCAGGAATCAACCGGGTAGGGGGTGTTTGACTTGTTGCGTTGGCCGACTCTCTGTGTTGTATTGCATTAATATTTCTAAGCTTTACTAGGTGTGTTGTCCCGTTCATTCTTACCTGATGATGGTCGCTTGTGGTTCAATCGAAACGTCGTATTCTCTTATTATTTCATTTCTTTCTTTCAACGTGACTTTGCCGATAGAACCAAACGGTGTATTATCCATGTTTACAAATACCGGTTGTCATGCTGTAAGGGTGGTCCAGATGTCTTGTGACACCGCCACTCCCCATTTAATTCTCTAAAACTTAATAGTTTTTTTTTTTCAAATAAGGTTGATTTAAAACAGAGTTGAATATGCACAGACATACTGGGACTGACACGCTCAGACTCAAATGTACAAACACATGCTTGGCCGGGCTCTTGCATGCGTAGACTGTACCCACACCATTGATATACCTCCTTAAGTTATTCATTCATTTATTCGTATTGCTACGTACCTGTGTGCAAACGCGTGTTTAGAGTAAGACCAAAAAACGTGTACAAATCTGTGCACCCACAAATGCGTGCGCACTTGTCCAAGCACTCGCACTGCTGATGCCAGCACTAGCATACGTGATCCACCAACCCTGTCTCCACAAAGTGCTGGTATGGCATCTCGGGGAGACCGCCATCCAGCTGTCGGTGATGTTTGCTGGTGTCTTGTACCTTGATTGGAATGTTCATAAGCAGTCCAAGCCAGGCTGACCCCTGGGTCCCTGTGTGTTCCTCTGCGCGTGGACAGGATGCCAAGGTGGTACGTACCCGTGACCCAAAGGCTTTGGCCACATGTGATGTAGTGGTGGACGTCGGTGGTGAGTATGACCCTGGACGTCACCGCTATGACCACCACCAAAGGTCGGGCTCGCAACTCTTCACTAAGTTCCACCAATACAGCACAAAGCGTCGTTTTAATGTTTTAACCGATGATACGGAACTTAAGTTCATGTTGACATGTAGACTTTCGCGACCAATATCATCCATAATTGAGATTTTTGGGTTAGATCGCGTAAATATATAAATGTGTCGTTCAAACCCGCCACCACCGACACGGCCAACTAGTAAGGGTTGTCACGTAAACAGAACGTGGTCAATTCGTCACTAGTACAGCACACCGGTGTGTTGGAGAGCCAAGCCACAACATTTACAATCTGAGTATGACTCTGCATTCAGATAGGTGTCAGTATACGTTTTCTCTCGGTAAACACTGTTTTATTTTATAATTTTTACCCCGTCCGAGTAGAATATCCAGAAATGGTAGAGTTCTGTCAGCCTCCACTTCCATGTTGAACTTATGGATGGGGTTTTGTGAGTTGAGATGATTTAGAAATGCGTTTACCGTGTGGCCAGACCACCAATGTGTCATCCACATATCTAAACCAAGCAGATGGTTTTAGTGTGCTTTCTATCTACGTGGCTTTACCGAAAGACCCAAAGAATATGAATTCCTGCAGTCACGAAAGCTTTAAGTCAATATTTAACACACACTGTTTACCGAAAGTAAACGCATACTGACGCCTATCTGAATGCAGAGTCACACCATCACCCCGCACAGAAATCTGCTCTTATCAAGATGCTCATTCATCAACCTAATAAAGTGTCAGATGGTGACAGTCTGAGAAGTGAAATTCAACATGTTAAAAAAACGCTGCAAATGAACGGTTACAATGATGCACAAATCAACAGGGCATTGAATGCCAAAACCAAATAAAATAACAAGAGCATTGAAACTGTCCAAGCAATTAAAACGATCAAAATACCCTGCATTGTGGGAGTAACTGATAAACTAGCCAGATGTTTGGAAAAACAAAACATCCGAGTCAGATTTAGCATGGTACATGAATACAGAAATTAATATCTGGTACAAAAAATGTATTACTGAAACTATCAACAGACGGTGTGTACAGGATTAACTGCACGTGTGGTAAATGTTATGTTGGGCAAACAGGACGAATGATCAGCACGAGACTAAACATCAGAGAAATATAAAATGATCCCAAATACAACTGTCAGCAGTAGCAGAACACGCGTGCCAACAAGGACACTCAATTGATTTTGATAATGTTGAAGTTTTGTGCAAAACTAGCTACTACTGGCCAAGACTAATTAGAGAATCTATCGAAATTGAACGAAATCAAAATAACTTTAACCGTTCGGATAGCTACCGTCTTAGTGCTGCGTGGAACTGAATCATCAAATAATAAATTATTTAAATGCATGCCTACAAAAGGCAGCGTACACATCTACACCTCTATATAAGGAACGAAACAGTGAGACACCCACAAATCTGTCTGTCGCCTGATGACGATAGTTGTAATTACCTGCGAAACGTCGTACTCAGATTGTAAATGTTGTGGCTTGGCTCTCCAACACACCGGTGTGCTCTACTAGTGACGAATTGGCCACGTTCTGTTTACGTGACAACCCTTACTAGTTGGCTCTGTCAGGTGGTGGCGGGTTTTAACGACACATATTTTCGTGATCTAACCCATAAACCTCTATTATGGAACAAGTTCATATTCTTTGGTTATTTCGGTAAAGCCACGTAGATAGAAAATAATAAGAAAAATATGATAATAGGGTTTTTCCCCTTTTTTCTGGCAAGAAAATTGAAACCTTTTTACAAGGATTCATGTCTGCATTAACCACAATACCTGCAGTCAAAATTCAAACAAAACACATACTATGATAATATATGCATTGTCCTTGAAATTGATTGCGGTCAAAACGTCATGTATTTTACTTATTTTATTAGGGTCGGCTTGGTGTGGACCAATCAGTTTCAAGGACAATGCATATATTATCATAGTATTTTTTTGTTTGCATTTTGACTGCAGGTATTGTGGTTAATGCAGACATGAATCTTTGTAAAAAGGTTTCAGTTTTGTTGCCAGAAAAAAAGGGGAAAAATCCTATTATTATATTTTGGTACTGGCAAAGGAGGTCTAATGATGAAAAAGAAAATATAATTTAAAAATAATTAAAACCCAAAACTCGACCGCTTGTGTTGCAATCGAAACGTCATGAGTTTTTGGTTTTTATAAATGTTTTTTTACTTACTTTATTATTATTTTCTATCTACGTGACTTTACTGAAAGAAGCAAAGAATATGAATTCCCGCAGTCACGAAAGTTTTAAGTCGACAGTGGAACTTAAGTTCTTTCATCACACAATGTTTTTTTTATTTATTGTGATGCACCGTGAAATATCTCAATTGTGACGCTTGATTTGTCTCTGCAGTACAATATATCATCACCATGTACAATGTTTACAGAGGGGGGGGGGTTCGTTTTTCGTTGTCTGGAATCGAGTTGGGGTTGCACAGGGGCTCACCATAAGAGCCCCATTCACAGCACACGGCCCACCTCCTCCTCTGTCGCACAGTGTGTCAGGAAAGCCAGAATGCCTCCAGTTAGCTGGGCACAGTAGAACTCCTGCCACACCCTGGCAGAGACCAGTGCCTTGAATGGCATCTCCTTTTTAACATAGTGTCTCATCTTTGCCTGGCTGTTAATTATTCTCAAGATACTATTGGGGTTCACTGAATCACTTAGCCACGAGGCGTTTAATATTCCATCGATTATGATTTACGGTTGATTATTGTGCTTACAATTTCATGCATTGAACCTCGTGTGTAAAAAAAAAATACCTCTTCACTTATTTCCACCAAGACATTTCATCTTTATGTATTTCATTTCATTAGCACATTCGACCAATCTTGTGTTCATTTATCACTGAAACACTGTTTTAAATGTCTTCGAATGCAGAATCTTCAAATAGCAATTTAACATTTAGTCTAATGCAGCAATCAAAACTGCACAAACAGGACAGAATGAAAATAAATAATAATGATAATGTTATGGTAAACATTAGATGAGAAAAAACTTTACCCTTGAATTGTGATGGTTTAGTGAATCGTGGGATGTATAGTAATTTATAATATCCCCACTTTCCAGAATTTCCAAATATGCCTGAATTACAAAATTACAATGCACACCGCATTATATATATTAACAAACTGTGGTTGCCATTTGTGCTTGCGCGTGTATGCACAGGTCATTTGCGGAGACCATGCATAGCCTGTGTGCAGAGAAGCCGTGGGTGACAAAGCTGAGCAGTGCGGGGCTGGTGTACATGCACTTTGGGGAGGAAGTCATCACCAGCATCACGGGTCTGGGTAAAGAGGATGCCAATGTCACGACGCTCTACAACAAGGTAACTTAGAATACGGTGTTTCACGTATGGGGTTTGATTCGCATTGGCGGAGGGCTAATTAAACCTGGTGGAGCCCCTTCATCTTGGTTGAGCTGAAGGGAAAACTCTAGAGAGTACTGCCCGACTTAATGGCTCTCTGCCAATATGTGAATCGCACCCAGAATGTATAGATTAAAACAAAAACTTCGAGTATTAGACTGATAACAACAGCTTATCATATTCGTGCCCGGGTTGATACATTTCTGGCTATTAAGCAACACATTTTGCTGTTTTTCCACCAAATGTTGGTGTGAAGATTTGATTTAAGATTTACAAATCGGCAGCTGCTTTGGTAAAGCACATTTGAGGAAATGTTTACGTGAAAAAAATTATCCATAAAAAAATAATTAGTGACCGTATAATGTAGTGATAATTTAATCTTTATCACCATATGCCACTGTGTGAAGATAAACACTTGCTTGCATCACGTTGAGGTGAAGACATTTGAGCTCACATTTCTCCAACTGCAAAACTCAGCAGTGTTCAGTATGGCACCCGAATTTGGCTCAACTGTTGTCCCTGACAACGTTGTTTTGTATAACTGTGTGATATAGTGCTTTGGTTAGATTGCACTGGACCAGAAGCTCCCCCAACGTTTCTGGATCCACTTGATATTCATTGTGATTGGAAAGTGTTACATTATTTGATTATATAAACCGGTCCTGGGTCTTGCCTAGGTCAACTCAGCCATATATGAGTATAAAATAGGTGACGTTTTGGTCAATTGTCCTTCATTGCACACATTACGCTCATGGAAATCACCGACTAGACTGATTTTGTTTATTGAATGTGTCGGTGTACCATTGTTAAATATCCAGCAGGGGGCAATGTTACATTGGGCACGAATGATATAATACATCTCATACACCCTGAAATGTAAATTGCACGCCTTGTTACACATTCTTCAAGGAAGCCAAATTGGCACAGAGTTGTGTGTTTCTACATTGAAGTGTATTTACGGTTTCTTCAATGTTTTGGAATGGGGTTCACTCCTCAAAATACTTGCCTCTTAATTACATCAACAATTTTTTTTATTTAAAGCTTTCGTGACTGCAGTAATTCATATTCTTAGTTTTTTCGGTAAAGTCACGTTGAAGAGAAACAACAAAATAACAAAATATATATAAAACAATAAAAAATTTCGACCATAACTCAAACGGTCATCATCAGGTGTGCACACCTGATGATGACCGTTTGAGTTATGGTCGAAACGTCGTGAGAATTTTTTATTGTTTTATATATATTTTGTTATTTTGTTGTTTCTCTTCAACGTGACTTTACCGAAAAAACTAAGAATATACATCAACAATGTTTTGATCGTGATAAGATTTTGATAAAGTGAATGAGTTATGAACATTACCTCCTTGTAATTTTTGTTCTCAATGGCACATTAATTACCCAGGGGTTTGCTATGGATGGGGCACTCATCTGATGCTGTGTATGGTGCTTACTGTGTAGTTTTTGAGTGTTTGTGTCATGTCCATCCACCGGGTTTTTTGCATTTTCAGTAGAGCGATAAACATTGTGTATTTGTGTGGCCATCTGCCCATCGCTGCTGATTGTTAATTAGGCTTAATATATTCTGCAGCGATGATGAAACGGGGATGGATAAAGCGACTGCGTCTACATGTTTTGTGAACAAGCCTTAGCTAATGAGGATCAGGTTGCATTAAATCCCAGAGTAAAATAACTCGAATGAATGTGAATGCCATATCCGCTTGCAGTATGTGATTATGTCTGGGTGTTTGCATATCAGAGTAAGCCAAACTATAATAAAGTCGCTGGTTTAATTCGATCTCCAGCCGTTGAAACAATGAGAGCATTGCTGAAATATCCCTACCCCTCTTCTTTGGTTCTTTCGGTAAAGTCACGTAGAATGAGAATAAAATAATACATTTATAAAATAACACAATAATAATCTCACGACGTTTCGGCCACAACACAAGCGCTTGTGTTGTGGCCGAAACGTCGTGAGAATATTATTGTGTTATGTTATTTTATTTTATCAATTTATTATTTTATTCTCATTCTACGTGACTTCACCGAAAGAACCAAAGAAGGTGAATCCTTGCAGTCACAAAAGCTTTAAATCGAAATCCCTACCCCTCTGTCCATCCAGCAGTATAAATATTTGCAGCACTGTTAGGCGATTGACAGGTCCGTGGGGTGAAAGTTTAGTATTCTCCTCTGCTGCCAACTTGTCTGGCTGGCCAAATGCTCTCTATAGGGGCTCTCTACAGTCCCCTTCTAGTGGAGGCTCTTCTGCCAGCAGTGGTGAGAGCAAGCAATTGCAGGGCTGCACCCTTACGTTTTATATACACACTTATTTCTGTAATGATCCCACAATTATAAATGCCGTTTTCCGCATTTTCATTCATTACATGAATACATATACATTGTGTAACAAAACCCACTAATTTGACATTGGGCACATTGATATTCATATTACAATTCTGCCAGTGTAATTTTTCTTGGATTTGCATTTAGAAGTGATGTCTGGGAACTGGGTTAGTTCAACACTGGTGTACATTCTGTGTACTCTACTGTAATTATGCATGGAAGTTCAGAAGGAAGCTGACTTAAGCCTAACATTCAGTGAACTCAGTGCAAGTATAAAGGTGCTGCTGGACCCAATTGAATATTTTTTATTTTGCATTTTTGTAAGTTTGAAACTTCATTTTAAAATACAAAAATATAATTTGAGATGCCTATTACGTTTAAAAATGTCACACGTAGGCTTTCGCGACCAATATGAATCATTCTTTATATTTGACTCGAATTGTGTCAGTGAAATGTGTCGTAAACCCTCCTCCACCCGACACAGCCAACATAAAAAAATGCCTCTTAAGCCATTGGGTTTAACGTCGATGGGTGTGTTGTGCAGTGCAAATGCATGTCACCAACTTGCGAGGATATTTGAATGGAAACTCTTGATGCATTGTTAACTGTTTTATATTTTACATTTTAAAATAATAATTGTTCACGTGCATTTTGGAAGGGACTGCATGCCTGACATGACAGCTGAAAGAACAGTGTAATTGTGTGCCTGAGGGAAGGAGATGCATCAACTTTACAACGTTTTAGTTCTTCTAGTTTGTTTCCCTAGGACGCAGAGGATCGAAAATAATTATTTGCACACCAAACGTTGGCGCGTCTGCTGACATTACATAATTTTCCAAACCACAAGAGCAGGTAGACAATTTTCAACAACAAAAAAAAATTGTGTTGAAAACAAACAGTTTGGGTGGAATTTGAACGAGACAAGCAGCAGAGTAGCAGTACTAATTTCAGAATACAGTAATGAAATGCTTATGGAGCTATTCGTAAATATCACATTTTTTTCCAGAAGGTAGATAACGTGGGTCAATATGCTGGCAGAGAATCGGGTTTAGTGTTGAAATCACTGTACGAAAACACATATTTTGTAAGTATTGGTTTTGAATTTCATTTGGTCCTATTGCAGCTCTGAGAATTAAAAACACCGGTTTTTCATTGGATAAAAAGTCATAGAATGTTATGGAAACTGCTATCTCAACTCTGTAATGGATAAAAATGCGACATGAAGCGTTGATTTTCTAAATGTAAGTGAATATTGTTGTGATTCTCTCGCTCATGGGGAGGGGGTCACTGCACTGCGAGAGTGGATATTTATCTGCATGTAACACATTTGATAACCTTCTTTGGTTCTTTCGGTAAAGTCACGTAGAATGAGAATAAAATACTAAATTGATAAAATAACAATAAAATGCTCACAGCGCTGTCCTTCCAGACAGTCTCGTCCCTTCAACTGATGAAGGCCGCTTGTGCGGTGGCGGAAACGTCGTGAGAATTTTATTGTGTTATTTTATTTTATCAATTTATTATTTTATTCTCATTCTACGTGGTGACTTTACCGAAAGAACCAAAGAAGATGATTCCTTGCAGTCGCGAAAGCTTTAAATCGAAACATTTGATAACATCAAAGTGATGGAGGGGCCTTGTTGTGCGCTGTTGTCCGTGTCCCCGAAGGATCATCATTCTGTGTGGCCATTTTTCCGCCCGCTAGATGTATGAGAAATTTGTCGAGGAAGTGGATGCCATCGACAACGGAATCTCGCAGCATGACGGCGAGCCTCGCTATGCCATCACGACCGGGCTGAGCGCGCGTGTTGGGAGGCTCAACCCGATGTGGAATGACCCCGACCAGAGCGGCGATGTGAGTACACGTGCGTATGTGCAAGGCGGATGTAAAAAAAAAAAAAGCGTGCAGAAACGCACATGAAAAGCACACGTCAATCTTTTGTGCATTTTCCAAAACGCATCAGCAACTGCTGAGGAAGTACATTGGGGTCTTATGGCGACTCATCAGTCCTCATCACAGCTAACGCCACATCACCGTTTAAGTGACGTTGATTGTGAATGTTCAAAATAATTAGTGTATGCTCCTGTTATTCTGAGTTCAAATCCAGACAGCAGAGTCCTTTATTACAACTGGTTCGCAATTTGATTGTGCTGATGGTCCCAGGCCAATCCACATTGGCGGCACCAAAGTACATAATGTATTGCGTAAATAAGTACTTTTGCCTTCACCTATTATTGTAACTCGATCATTGCCATGCACCTAACTTAATGAAGCATAATCGAGTGGCACGTGGTGCTGAGTAAAAGCCTTAACATGTGACTACAACGTCCTGTGGTGTCACCTTTTCACCAGCTGCTCGCTGGGTATTGCGGCTGTTAAATTTTGCAATGTTGGAAAAAAAACGGTGCTTTCCTGCATCAGATGACTGATAGCATAATTGAGATTGACGTGAATTAGTGAAACAAATCTTAAAACCGTAAATAATTAAAGATACTCAGATTTGTATCAATCTCTTCAATGATTTGCTGATCTGAATCAAATTCAATGACCTTTTTAAGCTGTTTGGGGAAATTCAGCAGCCAAAATAAAGTGACATGGAGCCCAAAAACTAACTGTAATATTTAGACAGAGGTGCACTGAACAGGGAAACATAACAAAACTCCCAGTATGCTTTATGTCAAGATGCCATGACCATTCTTGCTCATGGTCTGAAAAATACCACAACCTCCGGCTTCCTTTAGCCGGTGGCTATCACTGTCTTTGCAGAATGTGTAAGAATGATCATTATAAATATTGTCATGTACTTTAAACCTACAAACTTAGAGGTATTTACACTTTGGGCTAATGACATTAAACCGGTCGTATGTAAATTAAACATCCACTCTGATGCTAAAAATAAATCACTTAAAAGACGTTAAAATAATCGTTGGCTGCCTGCTTCAGAATATATATTTTTTATCGCTGAGATTCTGTTTTAGAATTCCAAAGTTCCATGCCAAGTAAAAAACAAGGTTTCTTGTTTATTACATTGGTGGTCATAGCTTGATGGAAAATATATAAATTCAGTCTGGCACTTCTCAGAGTACATTTATTTGATAGTTGCTGCAAAAGTAACACGACGTTTCGACTGCAACACAAGCAATTATCATCAGGTGTGAAAACCACGGCACACCTGATTGCTTGTGGTGCAGTCGAAACGCCGTGATGATTTTATTGTTTTATATTTTTATTATTTTATTGTTTCCCTTCTACGTGACTTTGCCGAAAGACCCAAAGAATATGAATTCCTGCAGTCACGAAAGCTTTAAGTCGAGATTTACCATCCGGATGATTGGTATTCGGGAAAAAATAGTGGAGAAAGGCACCTGAAGAAAACACTTGCACTGAACAGCCTTCGAGATGTTTGACTGCGGTGAACCCCAGGACAGCTGTCAAACTGACCTTTACTGATTGATGATACAATCAATAAAACAATACAGATTATGCATGTGTATACATATAGCACTCAACGTGTGGAGTATCCCTGGGTGATTTACAATAAAAAAAGCAAAAGCCATTGTCGAATCAATCAAATTGCATCACACAGTGTAAGGGTGATGTTGAGGCTCAAAATTTGTCATCATGCTGTTCAGACGATCCTTGATAGCCTTGGAACCTCATAAACCCTTGTTTTCGGTGAGCGTTTCACATATTGACCCCATTTCACAAATAAACACCGTGACAAAGTCGGACGTGTGACGTGAGCTTGACAAGGTCATTGTGCAAAATGTGTTAACTGTGTTCCCCCCATCCACCCTAACAACCCAGACTTGGGTTTGTTTTGTTCTTCGATGGTGCTGATGAATACAGTTTTAATAATGATGTTGTAAAGGATGTATTTTTTTTAAAAGTTGCATGAAGCTAATCGATGGATATATTTACTGCCTACATTTTATACTCTCACACGCGCGCACATTAGGGTAATGTGGATTTTTTTTTATTTGTGTTCTTTGAAGCTGTCTGTATATAAATGGTTGTTTTTCCTTGTAAAATGTGCAAAATTATTTACACATACGGAATTCGTGTCTATACCAACTTAAGTGCAATTTTTCTCTTCCCAATGTGTTTTACGTTTTGTGAATTTTGATTTTATGAGGTGTTGCAAAACTCTCTCCTGCCTAGGCCATCTGTAGAATAACAACCAGTACAAGACTGATTAATTATAAGCAGTCTGTACATTCACATGGTGATATAAAACTCATTTGTGTGGTGTTGCAAAATGCCACAATACCAGTGGAAAAATCCGTGGGTAGTACAAGTCAATGCTAGATTCATCATAGGAGACATCAAAAGGAGATTTTTTTTGGGCGTTATATCTTCCAATGTTGGTCCCCAGTGTGATTTTTCCATGAAAGCTTTGCTGAGTCAATATTCATTTTCAGGAGGGTTCTGCATTTAGGATTTTTGGCCAGTCTAGTTAATGTAACTTGAAGTGTTATTGAATGTAGGCAGAACATTTCTGGAGCTGATTCTTAAAAAGTAGTACCCTCGACTGCTTTGGCCGAATCGTTATATAGTAACTGAATATGACTACAGTTTGATTATTATATAATTATGTGCTAAATATGGGAATTAGAAGGCAAAGGTCTTCACGTAGCTTTCAGAGAGCCCAAGTGTTAATGTGCTTTAGCACTCATTAAAAGTCTGTCATTGCAGATACACCAACAGCACCAGGCCATGAACCCATTACTCCTTCCCAATGCAGTAAGGATTTACTGCTGGAATGCGTACGTTTGTGTCAGTATAATACCACTATAGATGTCGTGTCGGGTGAGTTCTAATATTTGCATTTGCTCTGCGGAGAACATCAGCATACAGCCACAACCATTCACAAATGGCAAATCATTTTATCATATAATTCCACATACCTACAAAATATACACATTCACTTATACAAAAAAACACAATAACATGTATTTACAAGGTGCATACCAAATCTCCCTGCCAAGCGCTTCACTCGCCGCCTCCTGAGCAAGGTTTATCGGAATGGCACAGACGTTTGATATGCACCTCTTACAAATGTTATTGCAGGCCGCCAAATAAATAACGAACGCTCTTAGCAGTGATATTTACGGCCCAATGTGCTCTGGTTGAAACCAACAATGCCATTAACTCATAGGTGTATATGTACACAGCAAGCTTTCCAGATTACAGTCCTCGAAAAAATACATGTCAATCGTGACCACTCCTCATGGCAAGCAAATATACCGACTGAATATTCTGCTAATTTGCCAAAATTAAATCCATAATTCACAAAGCTGCAATATCCAACAATTAATGTATTTTTTTTTTTACCCTTCTTGCTTTCCCATTATTGGGAAATGTACTCGTGACTGCAAAGATTGTGTTGATGTCTTGTCAACATTGATCAAGCGCAAACGGTTAGCGCGTACTGTGTGAGCAGCTGGGCTGATTTCTTAACAGGGTCATCAGGTTGGGACTAGTTGTAGCATGTTTAACTCGATGGTGTTTGATACCACATTTTAGTTGACTCAACCTTCATGTCCATAACTTTGTACATTTTACTGTTTTGGTAAGATAACTTTTATACAATGCAGTGCCTTGCTCATAGCATATGAAACTGAATTCCACCCCCAGGAAATAAAAATAAAAATTACCTTAAAAAACACTAGCTCATCTGTGCTCATGGCTTCCAGTTCAAACCCACATTGATTCTCCTACTTGTGTTTAAGGCTTTAAATGAGCTTCCTCCACCATACATGCAGGAGTTGATTCAGCAACACACCTCCACTGAGATCTCTTGAGCTCTACGAATCGTGCCCTACTCGGCTGTAACCGTGCTCCAGGCTTCGAACCTGTGCTGACCACCGGACTGTCTGCATGGTGCCCAGGCTCTGGAATTCCCTGCCCCTGGTGGTCAGGAACTCGCAGTCAATGGAGACTTTTTAAGTCCCACATTAAGACACCACCGCCTGTTTATCAAGGCTTCATATCTCTCTCTCTCTATGGTACTCTCCCTCGTCTCTTTAGTCTTTTTCTTCGTGGTTATTTCTCACTTATTTTCCTTATTTATATGCATGGCGCTCTGCGATCCACTGTTTAAGGGTGCCTTATAAATCAAAATTATTATACATGCATGGACAGGGTGAGGCAGATATATTTCCTAATGGTGTGATCACTCAGCCCTGCCACGAAGGAATTGTCCTGAACGTGTCCCAGTGTTTGTGCCCGATAACCTGGCTGACCACTATTAATACTAGCTGAGATTTTGGTGTGATGGGTTTGCAGTCCATGTACAAATACATATCTTTGTGATTTGTGTTTGAAAAAGCTATTAAATTGTTAGGTAGTTTTACCTTTTTGTCTGTAAAATGTATGCATGCCGTGCTCTATTTAAGTGAATGGAAATGCTAAATTTGTAAGCATGTCAAATATTACATTGGGGAAATGCTTATTGAAAATGGGACAAAACCACAATGATGTTTAAAATTATATTCCAACTCATTTATTTTTTTGAGAAAAGGTTCACCAGACTCTGAAGACTCTTCGGGATGTTTGTTTACCCAGGAATGCCTCACTGAGTCAAAACTCTTTCATGAGGGTCCTGTCAAGTTGTCAGAGTGGGGAGTGATATTGATCTTTGCAATCCAAATTGTGTAATTTGCAGATAATCTTTCAGCATTGGGATGTTTGGCCAATACCATTAACCAAAAATGTGTACCTTTACATACTAGGAATGATCAGTTTAAGTCGGGGTTACGTTCCTAGAAAACGCGACTTAAGCTAACATGACGTTAACTTATCAGCTATTTCCTATAATAATTTACTAAAATACAGGAGTTGCTTTCCTGCAC